TACAAGCAACATAAATTAAATTGTCCAAAGTCTTGCCGCTAATTAGCAGGAGCCCCAGGACAAAAGCCTTAGTCCTTTAAGTCCCAGTTCCAAGTTCTCTGTGTGCACCATACCCTGCTGCTCCCCTCACTTCCATGCACATCACCGTCACGTCCACATAGACAGTGAAAGGAAGAATGACTTTTGTTCTTGTTGCTGTTGCTGTTGTTGTTTTGTTTTCTGAGACAGGGTCTCGCTATTAATTCAGGCTGGACTTGAACTGGCTAAGTAGCTCAGGCTGGCCTCAAACTCATGGCAATCCTCCTGCCTCAGCTTCTCAAGTGCTGGGATTACAGGCGTGCACCACCATGCCTGGCAAATATATGATTTTATATTCCTCTTTCACGCTATTAAATGATTTAATAGTTTGATTCATTGTTAGCCAGTATCAATTAAATTTATGAGAAACTAATAAAAACTATTTTAAAACTTTCTATAATTTAATGTGAACTAGAGTTTTATTAGTATTTATTAACCATAAAAATCACTACTCAAAATCATGCTAGATTAAAGAAAATCATCTCAAATAACAAATCGACATATCAAATCAACAAAAATGTGTGATGCTCCCTAGTGTTGGAGAGAAAAAATATAAAGAAGTGTAAACAGTCATGAAGATGTAAACCATTGAGAACTAAGCCACAGAGGGCAAGGCACAAAGAAACAGATGAGTAATTGCTAAAGGAAGTGAGTTCGTGTCAAGGAGCCAGCTGTTCCGGCCTACACGGATGGTCAGGAGGGGTTTTGTGAAGTGTAAGAGTGCTAGAGAAGCAAACAAGGGAAGCGTTGCTAAAGGTAAAGTGCGTGGTGTAATGAGAAGCACAGGTGCACATGCACACATCTACCTACAGACCTGTGAGTTAGCCAATGTGGCATGTTTCTTCCCCTATCTTTCCTAAAGTCCAAACCCTTATGATTGTTTAAAAATATTCTCTGGTACAGTACTTTCTTATTCTAGGGGGAGATAAGACAAGAGCATCTTGATTTGCACAGGCAAAATATCCTAAGAATGAGAAGGAAGAAAGAGGGATCTGCTATACAATCCTTCTCTGTGTTAAGATATAACCTAATTCAAAGAAAGTGGCTCAATAAATGGAAAGTAATACTTATGTTAATAATGTTAAATTATTCACAGATAACATCGTATGACTTGAGAAAATAGTTTTATTTTAAAAGGATGATGAAGCACTTTGTGGCTCCTATGATCACAAAAACATTGTCTGAAATCTGTATAATTCTTAAAACTGTCCCCTTTGGCCAAAGAATCTAACTACATAAAGTAATCCTGAGAATCTGCATTTGTGTTTAACCTTCTGGAATTCCATCTGCAGTAGGATGCTCTTGCAAAATGGTGTCGTGGGGTAGACGACCTGAGGGTCAGCCATGAAAGTCCAGGAATCTGCTGCCTCAAATCCGACTGTGGTGAAGGAAAAATCCAGACCAACCAAACAGACCTCAAAGAGTGCTGTCCTCCCAGAGGTTTCAGGGATGTTAAGAGACAAGACCTTACTGAGAACAATGACCAAGGGAGATCTAATGTTAGAAGCTGGTAATCTATGAATGTATTTTTAATCAGTTGCCCAAAATTTTAAAATGTCTTTTCTCAAAGAAATTAAAATGGTAACTGGGTTCTCACGAGAAGCCAAACAAACAAAACCTATTTTAGGCAATGAAAAACTATACATCAAATGTGATAAGCAATAAAAGTAATAGAAACATGCTGTACAGTGTCTAAAAATATATGCTTCTCTGGGGCCTCATATTCCCTAAGATAAACCTGCTTCTACTCCTGCTTATTAGAGCTGATTTAAATGTCCACTCCCACATCTATCCAGAGTGACTCACTGGCCCTTACATTCCCAGTTTCCCTGGTTTCACTAAGTGTCCCCTCTGTCTTTAACACCTTAATCTACCTGTCCAAAGATTCTCTAAAAAGTTCCCATCCACTCATTCAAGGATGGGAACAAAGAACCTATGGGAAAACAGCTGAAACAGTCTAAAAGAGAAGTTGTCTGTGCCTTTCACAATTTCAGGCTGAGGTGCAGGTGGAGAAGCAGAGGTAAGAAGAGCAGGGAAGAGCAGGGACCTCCCTTAGACCCAGCAAGGCCTCACTCTGACAATCACAGACCCTTCAGACCATGATGCTGAGGAAGGGAAAGGCAGTGACCCCTCCCTGGTGACCACGTGTCTTCCTCCTCCATAACGGAGATCTGTGCTTTCACACAGCAAATGAATGGGGGAAGAAGGAAAGATCACAGAAGCCTGGCTTCCAAATTCCACCACCATTTTGTAGGAGCCTTCTCTCCTATCACACTCATCCCTTCTCACTTCTGCTCCCTGGGTCCCAGAGCCCAGCTAGGCTGACTTTTCACATTCTAACTTCAACTATCACACAGACACAAAATTTTAGCCAAATGTTGGGTACTGTGTCTTTGAACAGAGGGATAATGCCCGCCACCCAAACCAACACACATGTGCACCCAGACCTCATGGACAAGGCCTATTTAAAACCATGTACTTAAAAGATAAGGTGGCTGAGGGGCTACTGGGCTTTCCTTTGGGTAACCTGTTATTAGTTCTATGGTGTGTCTGTGCTGAATGTTGGGTATTCAGACAGGTATCAACAAACACTAAAAGGACAGTAAATGAAAGAAACACAGAATACAACTAATTGGATATTTACAGACTGGGGAATATTTAGATCCACCAGTTTTTAAACATTATATACAACTTTCCTTAATTGGATATACCTTTGAGGCTATGATTCCCCAACCCAATGATTTTAATGTGCTCATAAAGTGAAAGAACAGAAGAAATAACAGTGACATCAAAGTATCTACTCCAAAGCCAAAGATGGGGTAAACTCCATCAGTGTATGCTTTCTTCTAATATAAAACAGCATTGACTTCCTTGCCTCAAATATCTAAACAAATAATACAGGGAAGTGGAAAATTATTTTTATTGTTTTTCCCAAATACAGCTCTTCAGATGTTTCAATTCTAATGTATGAGTGTTAATGGTTTACCTAAAGTAACATTTTCAATGTGAACACTCTAAAGACCGCATTCTGTATTTGCCAGATATGTGCCTTTGAAAAGTCCAGTTTTATTAAGTAGTGCCTCCAGATGTAACAACTCAAAATGACACTTTTCAGAAAATGTTTTCCCTAGGGCAAAAATCTCTTCAACCATCAAATATACTCTACAAATCTTAAACAATTCCTAGTATGACAGTCTAAAGCAGATGTATTTTATTTGCACTTGAAACAATAATGGGAAGACCTATTTCATGAACTAATAAAAGGGAAAGAAAGAACGTTCTGACAGTTCAAGTAATGAAGGCACTCAAGGAGTAGAGGCCTTTCTCACTCCTCCTGAATAATGTGCAACTTTTCATCACCCTCATCCCTATTTCTCATGACCATCTTTCCCTCCCATTTTTATTTCCCTCTTTCCAAACATCCGATTCACCAACTTTTCTTCAACCCTACTCTTCTAACCTGAAGTCCCCTTACCCATATTTTCATGAATTATGCTAAGAAGAAGAGATGCCCCTGGAATCAGGAGAGTGTGGCTGAGCTGAGCTGAAGGAACATGCAAGCACAGAAAGGAAGAGTGCAGAAAGGTGCCCCCTTGGGCTGCGCACATGAGTTCTGCCTAAACCTGCAGTAAGAACAGACCGCAGGCACAGAGCTTCTTGGCTGAGTAGGAAATTCAGTACCTCTGCCTAAGATTTCAGAAGCCAAGAAAGCAGTCTCAGGTTTCCTAAGTGGACAGTCATCAGCATGGAGGAAAACCTTCCCTCCACCTGCTAGTGAGGTCACATTCCAGCGGCTGCTCTGCTTCTGTCTTGGCCCACATCCAAGGTGCCTAGCAAACTTTCGCATGAGGAAATTGTCAAAACTTCCCTAATCCATTCGTGGTCTTTTTTTTTTTTTTTCTAACACTAATGTCATTAGAAAGGAATTAGTCACCATGGAAAGGAGTACTCCAGGGCTCTGATGTAGCTCAGTGGTAGAGTAATTGTCGAGGAATTGCAAGGCCCTGGGTTCAATCCTCAGTTCTGACCTTCCAAAATAAAAGTTTAAAGCCAGGCGTGGTGGTACATGCCTTTAATCCCAGCACTTGGGAGACTGAGACAGGAGGATTGCTGTGTGAGACCTGTCTGGGCTACATAGTGAGTTCCAAGTCAGTCTCAACTACATAGTGAGACCCTGACTCAAAAAAACCAAAAAGCAAAAATAATAAAGAGTTTAAAAGTCTCAAAAGTAAATAAGTGTATTCTATCTCAGTTTTTCTTTCTCTGACTAGAGAGGTGAGAAAGCTTCAGGAGATGAAGGGAACAAGTCTGAGAACTCCTAGGTGTGGCTCTGGCTACCAGGGCACAATGTCTAACTCCAAGTATGCAAAGCACAACTACTAGCCAAAGAACCTGTCTGATACTCAGCTCTGCGAAATTGTGTAATGAGAGACTCTGACGCAATGCTCAAAGAAGCAAAATCACAGAGATGAAAGAATACATCCTCCCCACTTTTTGCAGGTGCACTACAACATCCTAAGTACAACAGCACACTGAAGAAAGATTTAAAGAAGAAACATTCCATTACAAATTGCCTTCTACGGCCTACGATTTAGATGAGTGGTTCCACTGCATACCTTGCAAGCGCAAGGACCCGAGTCCAACCCCCGGTACCAAAAAGAAGACAAAAACAAAAAACACCATTGTCTTTTAGCCACCTTCAGATGTTATGTTCCAGTGCCAAATTTGAGATCTCCTGAAAAATAGCACATTTCCTAAAGGAGTTAATGTGGCATCAATGTAAAACCCATTTTACTCACACAAAAATAACTACACAGTGTTTTCTTGTCCACAAAATATACCCTATGTGGATACTAGCTTAACGCAATAACCACTCTCTCACTTAATAAACAACAACAGACACAAAAACGATAGAAACATACTTTCATTTCTAAGGAAGGCGAGCAGAATCATAACCTTAAATGTTAACTTCTTCCACGGCTGGGTCCTAAAGTCGGACTGAAAAAAGACTAGAAAATTTTATCCAGGATCACTTCTAAAATCCTTTACCACGAGCATTTCGAGATTTCAAGAACTTCTTGAAGCATTCGCAGCAAAGCCAAAGAAGAAAGGGTAAAATGCAACAATGTATATAACATCCCAAAGGCTTCTGCTAGAAAAGCCATACAGATCAAGCAAATGACAGCTCTGCTCAATAAACTGAATAAAGGAAAAGTTTGCTGATTTAAGAAACCTGTACCTATGTAGGCTTTCTGACAGCCTCTAGGTGCTGCTGTGGAGACCCCTTCAGAAAGACTTCCCTTTTCTTCCCGTGTTCTAACCTCCCCCTCCCGCGGCTGCACTGCAGTGCGCAAAGCCTTGACAACCTCCGCCAGAGCTGGGGCTGGAACAGGCTCAGAAACTAACGTCCTTCGGGAGCCAGGCAGAGCTGTTTTCCTTTCCAGTCCACATGAATACCAGGGATGGATGAGCTCGATAGGGGAAAACAGTAGCGGGGTTTTGTCCAAGCCACCGGTCGGCTGCAGAAAGCCAGCTCCTCGAGGACCCTCCTCCCACCCCAGTGCCTCCGCGCACCCAACATCGCTGCGGGCTAAAGGCGATCCGCGCGGGGTGCCGGCGTGGGGGGCGCAGGC